GGTAGGTCATCATGACCTACATTTTAGATGAAACACTCTGACAACCCACAGTGATCTACTTTTCAGATGAAATACATTAAGGACCCATGACGCATCAACGGACAAAGTTTAATGATTCTAAGCCAATTAGTACTTGTTATATTGAAATTAATCCAAAAATTTTCAAAAATAGGTCACAGTGACCTCCTTTTCAGTCAACTAACTCTGTATTAAGGACATATGCAACGTACCTTACCTACTGATAATTTTCCAAGATATTCTGAATTTAAACTTTTCATATCATTACATGTTCTTAGACAAATAATCAGCATGCGTTACCAGGGGTTTTGAAAAGATATCGAATCTTAAAATTTTAGCATTATTCCAATTAAAATGTACAAAAATTTTAAAACATAAATTCCAGATTTTCTTTCATCAAAAATTGATTAAGAAAAGGTGTACAAATCCATATATAGACATTAAAATATTGCACACAGGTCCTTCCTTTAGTGAAACTCTTCAACTCCAGGGAAGAACCTCAAAAAGTTCCAACTATGTTGCGTATGACCTTAATACATATCTTGCAAATGCATCAACTTGTTTACTTCTGCAATTACTGAATAATTTATATAGCATGTTTAACTGTGAAAAAAGCAGACCCAAGATGCATCAACTGACAAAGTTTGAATATTTCAATATAGCCATAAAATTTCAAAAGTAGGTCATGTAACCTACTTTTCAGTCGTTTTTCGAGGAAAAAAAAGATCCATCAACTTACAAAGTTTTATGATCATAGGCCTTAAAATGTCTCTAAAATGCTTTGAAATCAAATGCCTGCAAAGTTCAAACAAGAGGCTCATGGGCCACATCGCTCACCTGAGTAACTTGGGTGATGCAGTTCTTTACCAGATTCCCCCTCTTGCTATACATATCATGGCCACTACCCCCGGGGGTCTAATTTTAACAATTTAATATCTACACTACCCCAGAATGCCTCCACATAAGTTTCAGCTTTCTTGGCCCAGTGGATCTTGAGAAGAAGATTTTTAAAGATTTGTTCTACATATTTGTATGTAAAACTTGGAATCCCTATTGTGGCCCCGTCTTACCCCCGGGGGTAATGATTTTAACAATTTAATATCTACACTATCCAAGAATGCTTCCACATTAGTTTCAGCTTTCTTGGCCCAGTGGTTCTTGAGAAGAAGATTTTTTAAGGATTTGTTCTATATATTTCTATGTAAAACTTGGATTTCCTATTGTGGCCCCGCCCTACCCCCGGGGGTAATGATTTTAACAATTTCATATCTACACTACCCAAGAATTCTTCCACATTAGTTTCAACTTTCTTGGCCCAGTGGTTCTTGAGAAGATTTTTAAAGAATTGTTTCTACATATTTGTTTGTAAAACTTGGATTTCATATTGTGGCCCCGCCCTACCCCCGGGGGTCCTAATTTTAACAATTTAATATCTTCACTACCCAAGGATGCTTCCACATTAGTTTCAGTATTCTTGGCTAAGTGGTTCTTGAGAAGAAGATTTTTAAAGATTTGTTCTATATATTTCTATGTAAAACTTGGATTCCCTGTTGTGGCCCTGCCCTACCCCCGGGGGTCATGATTTTTATAAATTAATATCTACACTACCTAAGGATACTTCCACATAAGTTTCAGCTCTCCTGGCCCAGTGGTTCTTGAGAAGAAGATTTTTTAGTAACATCACCTTATTTTTGTCTTTTCTTGATTATCTCCCCTTATAAGGGGACTTTGCCCTTCATTTTCACAATTTAAACTCCTCTTAACCCAAGGATGCTTTGTACAAAGTTTGGTTAAAATTGGCCCATTGGTTCTTGAGAAGAAGTTGAAAATGTGAAAAGTTAACAGACGGACGGACAAAATGTGCTCAGAAAAGCTCACTTGAGCCTTCAGCTCAGGTGATCTAAAAATAGGTCACTGTGACATACTTTTAATCAATATGTGCCTACCTTAGATGCATTATCTTATAAGATTTAAGGATTTAGATGTATAACAAGGCACTTCCGGTAAAAATGACAGCGTTTGCCAATGATTGCCGATGTCGTAACACTGTTTCTGTCTAAGAGTTATCGACCATTGTAAACAAGCAAGGCTCTTCGTCAACACGGCTTGATAGACGCTGGCTTTATACATGCCACCAGAGCAGAGAAATATACTTAACAGAGGAAAGAACAAATGATAGATTGATAGAAAACCATGCTATAGTAGTTTTGTTGGACAATTTGCTGCATAAACATTCTTTTCAACGTAAAATACATATTTGGGTTTTTCCCAGTTCTAAAAAAGCACATCTTTCGATGAGTAAAAAAAATGAGGAATTTATTCTATTTCTTTAAACTATGTAATTTATTAACAGATTTTCGTTATTTCTAGTCGTTTTTCAGTAAACATAGTAAAGAAACACATGGAAGTGTGCATCTATATTCATATTAATTCGCTAAACTAGACCGCGGTTACAGCTATAGATCAGTAGTATAACGTTATTCGTTTGCATAAAAAAAAAAAATCCCTGCAAAATCCCAGAAAATTCTCAAGTTTTCTCTGATGAAAAAAAAAACGTTTTCCGTACGAAACCATGGACATAATAGATGTTTCTTGTTGTATAACTACATGACTGTATACTAAAGGTTGTATTTCCAAAATGAAAAAAAAAATCTTTCTGGTTCTAAATTAGATCTAAAAGTTATTAATTAAAAAAAAAAAGAACAAAACTTTAAGAACTGAATCTTTTCTGCTATTAGTTTAAAAAAAAAAAAAATAGGGAAAACACATTTGGTTTTTTAATCTAGGTATTTATTTCATAGAGAAAAAATAGATGGGGAGGGGGGATATCATTAATGAATATTTATATTAAATTGATTTCATATTCATGATTTTTGCAATTCTCTGTACATATGAGGAAAAAATACCATACCTTTTTAGCTAACATAAGAACAAGATTACATGTACATTTTTTTTTATCTCCCAGAATTGTTCTTGTACAAGTGTATGAATATGTTGTTTTTTTTCAAGGTTAAAAGGTCAAGGACATTGTTAAAAATGTCATAAGGCTTATTTATTTATGTTGTTTTATACTCTTATCAATATATAAGTATGGCATAATCATACTAATAGTGTTGAGAATAAAAAGTTATATTTGTGTGTCAGCAAACGGATACTAAAATTGGGGGTAGGGGTAGTAAATGCTTAATTACTCCAAAATATCCTGGTAAAAAATATCTTACGTATTTTATTTTTGTACAACATTGATTAAAGTCATTTTCTATCAAAGTAATTTTTAGCCCACTCTTTTCTTTTTTTAATTAAAAATCATTAGAATTAATTGTTTTTATAAGAAATACACACTTAACATTGAGTAACGTATTTTAATCTGAAAATTTTACTAGTTAATTGTAACTTTTGAAAAAAAAATCTTTTATTATAAAGCGTCTATGTTATTTTTGTTTATCTGAAGTAAAATTACAGTCTGAAAATGAGTTTATTTCACAGAATTCCTCTTCTGGTGTCGCCCACGTGGCGCAGTGGTTAGAGCGTCTGCTCTAGAGTCGCGAAGTAAGGAGTCAATCCTTACGTCGCGGGTTCGAATCCCACTGTGGGACGTGGAGACCGGTCCTTCGGATGAGACTGTGTAAACCGAGGCCCCGTGTCGCAGTAGTTGTTGGCACGAAAAAGATCCCTCACTGCTCAAAGGCCCTGAGTGCCGAACATAGGACAAAATTTGTAGCCCTCCACTGGCAAGTGGTGGCGTCTCCATATGAGTGAAAAATTCTCGAGAGGGATGTTAAACAACATACAATCAATCAATGAATCCTCTTCTGGTATGACACACCCTTCACTCTTTAGGATAGCAGGGGTATGATTTGAAAAACCTTCTTTTTTCAAATATGTTTGGACAAAACTTTATGTAACTTTGGAATTAAATCCTCCAAACACTAAAGATAAGGAAATATAAAGTAAAATTTCATTCTTCAACAATGCTTGTTATACATCTAATACCTTAATGATTATAAACCTCTCAGTATTTGAATTAATGGCTTCAATTCTTTTGAAAAAGATTAGCATTGAAATTCAAAAAGTAGGTCAAGGTGACTTTTACTTTTTAATTGATGTACTTTGAGGACAAAAGATACATCAACTGACAAAGTTTGATGTTATAGGCTATAAATTGTTCAAAGTATCTCTCTACATCATTCTGAAAAAGAATGGCTGCAAAATTTGAAAAGTAGGTCACCATGACCTACTTTTGAGTCACAATACAATGCATCAACTGACAAGATTTGATGATACTAGTCCTTATAGTAAGTAAAATATCAACATTTTAATATAATGTAATTTTTGGTCAACTTTGATTGATTGTATGTTGTTTAACGTCCCTCTCAAGAATTTTTCACTCATATGGAGACGTCTGGTCAACTTTAAGGTGACCTTAAAACCATGCCCTTTGCCCATGGCTGATGCCTTGAATAATTTTTAATCTACATCATATACTCATTCTTGTAAGTAAGTTTGGTGATGATATATATGCCCAGTGTTTCTTGAGGAGAAGATTTTTTTAGCAACCAGTACTTTTGTTTCTGTTGTCCTGATTATCTCCCCTTGTGTAAGGGTCACATCCCTAGTTTTAGACTTTTATTATAAACAGGAGCCCTTGAGTCAAGGATACCCTTTGACAAATTTGACAATAATTGCCCAAGGAGTTATGGCCCATATTCTAAAAAAAAGGTTATGCACACCGAACAAATAGCCATAGCATTAGCTCTTTGAGCCTTTGCCTCAGAAGAGCTAGTAATGGAAACAGCTAGAAAAAGCTGCTAAAAACTCACTTTATCATTTGTAATGCCTAAGATATTTAGTAATCCTAACATTAACGGGGGGCTTTAACTTCCATCATTCTCATAGCAATCAATGTTTTGAAGATCATTTTACGGTCTTCCCTCTTTAAGTAATTAAACTGCTTTGTGTAAAATAATATTGGTTCTTCGTACTTTGTTGTATCAAACTTCACAGATCCAGGATTGGTTCTTGTTTTAATTTTTTCATAGCTCTCTGGATTGATTTTCAGCAAAGTAAACAAAACCTGCAAAAAAAATTTGACTAATAAATCTTCAACAAAACAAGAGGCTCTACTGATAAATTGCACAATCTATAATTTCTATTTGTAGCCTCTAAGTATCCTGTATATTAAAATAAAGCCTTGGATTCCAAAAGTAGGTTATCTTGACTTGCATTTTGTTTAAAATACTCTGAACATACTTTGAATCAACTGACAAAGTGTGATGATTGGAATCCTTTTATTATCTTCATAACTCAAGTATGGCCAAGAGACTATGAAATTCCAAAAGAAAGTCACAGTAACCTACTTTTTGCAAAACATACTAAAAATGCCTCAACTGACAAAGTTTGATGATAATAATACTCTTATTATTTGAAATAATTAGAAATTGTCTTAAATTTCCAAAAGTAGGTCATGTTGAGCTACTTTTCAGTTGAGATTTTCTGAGATCCAAGATGTATTAACTTGACAAAGTTTGATGATTGTTAGCGAATAAGACCTGAGTAACTTAAACAAAAGGCCCAAGGACCTTAACGGTCACCTGAGTACAATACAACAATTTAGAGGATCCATAAACTGAAAAGTGAAGCTTTGTTGCCCAAAAGCAAGAAAAATAGTATGATTAGCATCAACAAAATAATTGGTCTAGTATCTATCTGCCTATCTGACTTTCCAAGTCATTAAATCTATGAAAGTACATTTTCATTATACAATAAATTATCTTGCATAATTCTCTTATTCTATTAAGCTTTCAAATACATTATTTACATTGATTAATTATCAAAGGTGAATGGCAAAGGGGAATAACTTTGCTCAGCAGAATACAAGTTAATAGAGCCCTGGCCAGGACTAGAACACTTGACTAAATGGTCCAGGTGTTCAAAAATCTGGTAAAAATACCCTTGCATATTAAAACTTTTACTCTGTTTGCCTTGAACATCCCCAGAAGCATAGAAGATTTTCAAAGAAATGCATTTTCACCATAAAATTAAATAAATAAAGCCCCATCCTTACCCAGAACATCTGACCCATTGGCCACGAACTCACAATTCTGGAAGAAGCACCCTTTCTCATTATAACTATACACTTGTTTCTTTACTTTATAACCAGTAGTAGAAAAAATATTTTGAAAGAAATTATGCATTTTCACTATATATAATCAATAGAGCTCTTTCCCCCTCACCAGAACCCCTGACCCAAAGGCCATGAGGCATTCTTCCTTATCATAACCATGCACTTCCTTTGTTTGAAAAATACCCAGGCGCACACAAGATTTTGAAAGAATTCATGCCAATTCCCTATCTAATCAATAAAGCCCCGCCCTAACACCAGAACCCCTTACCCAGAAGCCATTAAATTCATAATTTCTGAGGCAGCCATGCTCATCATAACTATGTACTTAGTTTATTTAATATCCAGGAGCAGAGAAGATTTTCAAAGAATTAATGCAATTTTACTATATAATCAATGGAGCCCTGCCCTAACACCAGAACCCCTGACCCAAGGGCCATGAAACAATTTCTGAAAAGGCAGTCATGCTCACCATAACTATGTTCTTAGTTAGTTTATTTAATACCCAGGAGCAGAGAAAAAGATTTTCAAAGAATTAATGCAATTCTACTATATAATCAATAGAGCCCTGCCCTAACACCAGAACCCCTGACCCAAGGGCCATGAAATTCAAAATTTTGGAAGAGGCACTCTTGCTCATCATAACTATGTACTAAGTTACTTTATTTAATGCCCAGGAGCAGAGAAGATTTTCAAAGAATTAATGCATTTTAACTATATAATCAATCAAGCCCCACCCTAACACCAGAACCTCTGACCCTGGGGCCATGAAATTCACAATTTTGAAAGAGGCACTCTTGTTCTTCATAACTATGTACTTAATACCCAGGAGCAGAGAAAATTATTGCAATTCTACTATATAATCAATAGAGCCCTGCCCTAACACCAGAACCCCTGATCCTGGGGCCATGAAATTCAAAATTTTGAAAGAGGCACTCTAGCTCATCATAACTATATACTAAGTTAGTTTATCTAATACCCAGGAGCAGAGAAGAAGATTTTCAAAGAATTAATGCCTTTTCACTATATAATCAATAGAGCCCCACCCTAACACCAGAATCCCTGACCCTGGGGCCATGAAATTCATAATTTCAGAAGAGGCACTCTTGCTCATCATAAATATGTACTAACTTAGTTCATTTAATATCCAGGAGCAGATAAGAAGATTTTCAAAGAATTAATGCATCTTCACTATATAATCAATAGAGCCCCGCCCTAACACCAGAACCCCTGACCCTGGGGCCATGAAATTCACAATTTTGGAAGAGGCACTCTTGCTCATCATAACTAAGTACTAAATTAGTTCATTTAATAACCAGGAGCAGATAAGAAGATTTTCAAAGAATTAATGCATTTTAACAATATAATCAATAGAGACCCGCCCTAACACCAGAACCCCTGACCCTGGGGCCATGAAATTCACAATTTTGGAAGAGGCACTCTTGCTCATCATAACTATGTACTAAATTAGTTCATTTAATACCCAGGAGCAGATAAGAAGATTTTCAAAGAATTAATGCATTTTAACTAATGTATATAATCAATAAAGCCCTGCCCTAACACCAGAACCCCTGACCCTGGGGCCATGAAATTCACAATTTTGGAAGAGGCACTCTTGCTCATCATAAATATGTACTAAGTTACTTTATTTAATACCCAGGAGCAGAGAAGAAGATTTTCAAAGAATTAATACATTTTCACTATATACTCAATAGAGCCCTGCCCTAACACCAGAACCCCTGACCCAGGGGCCATGAAATTCACAATTTTGAAAGAGGCACTATTGCTCATCATAACTATATACTTAGTAAATTTATTTAATACCCAGGAGCAGAGAAGAAGATTTTCAAAGAATTAATGCATTTTCTCTATATAATCAATAGAGCCCCGCCCTAACACCAGAACCCCTGATCCTGGGGCCATGAATTTCACAATTTTGAAAGAGGCACTCTTGTTCTTCATAACTATGTACTTAGTTACTTTATTTAATACCCAGGAGCAGAGAAGAAGTTTTTCAAAGAAATAATGCACTTTCCCTATATGATCTATATAGCCCCACCCTAGCACCAGAACCCCTGACCCTGGGGCCATGAATTTCACAATTTTGGTAGAGGACTCAATGCTTATTACAATGATGCCAACAGTTTGACTGCTTGATGTCCAGGAGTAAAGAAGAAGATTTTTAAAGATTGCATTATTTTTGGTGGTTTTAGCCCCACCCCTCAGGCCCCAGGGGGGCAGGGACCATGGAATTCACAATTTTTGTTCCCCTTCACCCATAGGTGCTATATGCCAAATTTGGTTGAAATTGGTTAAGCGGTTTCAGAGAAGAAGCTAAAAATGTTCAAATGTTAACACACGACGCACACCGCACGACGCACGCCGACGGACGAGAACGGATAGCAATAGGTCACCTGAGTGACTCAGGTGACCTAATAAAATTATGATTTCAAAAATAGGTAACAGTGACCTACTTTTTGAAGAACATACTAAAAAAACCCCAAAATGCCTCAACTGACAAAGTTTGATGATTTTGAGATGCTTATTATTTGAAATATTAAGATAAAAGCTTGAAATTCCAAAAGTAGGTCATGCTGAGCTAATTTTCAGTTGACATTTCCTGAGATCCAAAATGCATCAACTTGACAAAGTCTGATGATTAGTAGAAAAAAAAGACCTGAGTAACTTAAATAAAGTCATGATTTCAACAAGAGGCCCATGGGCCTTATAGGTCACCTGAGCATCATGCAACAACTTTAAATTGATTGACTTTGGTTCATGATTTAAGCTATGGCATTCACAATTTTGAAAGAGGCACCATCATGCTTATCATAACAATACATTTAGCAATTGTTTAGTTTGTTTACTTAATACCCATAATCAGAGAGGGGAACAAAATATTATACAATTAATTATCCCTTGTGAGGTCGACATGGTGAAATAAGGACCCGAGACCTGGCCCACGAGGTGACTTGACCTGACCGAGGCCACGTAGCGGCCGAGGTCAGGGCATGTCATTTATTGGGCCAGGTCAAGGGTCCTTATTTCACCATGTTGAACTCACAAGGGGTAATTAATCGTTTTATTATACCGATATATATTGAGAAGTTTGAATCTCTAACCGTTATCAATTCTTTCTTTGATCGGGATTGGGATTCGCTACAGACCGGATAGTGAAGTTGTTTACATTGACGTCTGCAAGTCGTGTAAGTTTTTTGCATCGTGATTTACTGATTAAAACAATATTTGGTTGATAGCGACATGCATTGTTATAACTACCGATTACTTTTCCTGTACACAGTTAAAATCTTACATAGAATTCAACTCTTTAAAGAGCCGTCTCTATATTCTATTGAACTGAATTGTAACGATAATTCGTAAAATTCTAGGCCTACCATATTCTGTATGGTAATGCAAAACAGACCATGCACAATTTTAAAAACATTTTTTTTTTCAAATAATTATTATTTTATGCATTAACGAAATTTTTAGCGGTCATTAAAAATAATGACCGGTCATTATAGCCCACGTGCAATGATTCCTAGGTCAGTACGGTGTCTTCTAGCTATTCCCACTTTTTAAAAATCTCAATTCCACCTATTCCCACTTGCAAATAACAATAGATATTTAAATTTACCTGTATTTTGTACATTTTAAGACAGAAAATAATGAATACATCTATGAGAAAATATGAAAAATAGGATTTTTGAAATAATAAAAAGATCTTACAAAAAAAACTAGAACTGTCCAAAACGGACAAATACCCCCCGCTGGGTTTTTCAGAGGTGCCAAATCACTAATATTTTATGGATCTAAGAGGTGTTTTCTTATTAACATTTAGAGTGAAAAAATAATTGCTCATTATATTTTTTTTAATGAATGAAACCAAGGAACAACCTAATAAAACATCAATACCAATACATTGTAGTTACATTGTTTTTTAATACTTTGAA